ACTATATGATAAAAAAAAGAATAAAATGAACAAAAGTTGAATGAAAAAGAAACAAAAAATAGAAGGTTTGAAAAAGAGCATAACAAATTAGGTTGTTGTAGACAGGAAATAATGAAAAAAGATGATATACAAAGTCAAAATATTCTTGTTAAGTCAGGAAATAGACTTAAAAACATTTTGGGTAAAAATGGAATATAAACAACAGATTGTATAAATTGATAAATTACAAATGAAATTGTTTGTTTAGAACAGTTCTATTCCAGCATTATTAACCACTATAAATAAATCATATCCTTTGCCGTTTGTTGAAAACTTCTTTTCCAATCCTTTCTTAGGAATGGCAAGCATAATAAATCCACAACTCTTACAAGAATATATCTTTGCACTTTTACCAGAAGATGGTAATCTAATTAGGTGAATATTTTAATTAAGCAAATAAAATACAAAAAAAAGAATAAACAAACACATTCATAACATTCAAAAGATTCTTCATTCCCACAACATTCTTTTGTTTTACTCCAACCCATTTCATAAATATTGCATCATAAGATGATTTCTCTTTCATTGTTTCTAAAAAGATTCTACACCCATTATGGCGATTAGGACAATATTCTTTACCATCTGCTTCACATCTACAATTTCTAACTAATTCTTCATCAATAGGTTGAGTTAAAACTATATCAACAATTCCACATAAACAACGGAAATGTCTTAATTTATCATTACCACTGAAAATTGATGGAATTGGATTCTTTTCAAAATATTTTAATCCACTTAAAACAGATTCATGAAGTCTAACATATGGACATACTTTTTGAATGTAAAGATAAGACTCATACTCTGATAAGTAATGTTTTTGCATTGTAAATCCAACTAATAAAGCAGCTGGCATATATCCTTTATCTCCACAAATATATACAGCTCTTTTTGATACAACAAATTCCCTTAATACCTCAATAATTCGTGAAAATAATTTAATCATTTCTTCAATTGTTTTTGGAATAGGATAATTCATAGCAGTAAGTGAAAGTGATGTTGGTAATTCTTCTCCAAAATGCATAACATATTTAATTCCTCTTTTATATACTTCTTCATCATTCATTTCTCCACCAAATAGAATATTATTAAAATATTTAAATACTTGTTTAGATTCTTCAAAGTCAACAACTTCTATTCCTCTTTTAATATCAATATCTTTCTTTGATTGAATATTTTCTTCTTCAATTTCTTCATATTGTTTTCTTTCCAACATCTTTCTATTCTTTTCCCACTTCTTTGCTTTAAGTAAATCTTTTTTATTGTCTTTTTTAAACTTTTCAATTACTTCATCAAATCTTTGTGCTAATGTAGATATTTGTGGTCGTTTTGTTGGATCTCTGTTTAATACAAATTCAAGAAATCCAATTAAATATTCGTTATTTCCAAGTAATTCTTTATTTTCTTCTGTTAATAATTCTTCACTCTTTAATACTCTGAAATAAAATTCTCCAACATCAGCAATTGCAAAAAGCATTTTTGATGTATATAATTCATATAACAAACAGCCTAATGCCCAAATATCACATGATGCATTTACAGGCATTCCTCCTGCTAAATCCATTTTTAACATTTCTGGTGGTTTAATTGATTCTGTTCCACGATGTCTAGTTGTATTTGCTTCTTTATCATTACGATAAACACATGCCTCCCCAAAATCAGCAAGACATAATTTAAATGGTGGAATTTCTGTTTGTGGATTATTGACTGTTTCTAATGATACTCCAGGTAATGGTTCAATTAAGAAATTTTCACATTTAATATCAAAATGAATAATTCGTTGGTTTAAAACTTGACAAACTCGTAATACTTCTTTGTAAATATTTAATAATAAATGAATTCGTGTGTTTGATGTTGACGGTTGTAAATTTCTTCTCCATGATCCTAATGATGCAGAATATTGATACATAACAATATTATAGAACCCTTCGTTATATCCATATTCAAATAAATGAGAAACTCTTTCATCTCTGCAATGTCTTTCAAGAATAAGAATTTCATTAAAAATGTCATGAAGAACACTTCTTGCTTTAGGAGATTCAGAAATTTTAATTTGTTTGATAACAACTTTATTCAATGTTACGTCTGATCCATATTTTACCAATGCCTCAGAACATACTCCATACGCACCTTCTCCAATGACTTTAATAATTGAATACTTTGACATATCAAAAAACTGTTGTGATAATAACCTCAATAACTCTTGAATTCCTGGATTTAATGACTCTTGACAGAATAATTGTTTTGCTATTTCTCTATTTGAACTACGATCTAAATGACATGACAAAATAAATAATGCATCTTTCATACCTTTTAAATCTGGAAATTGATCAGTATATAATGGGTCTAATACTCCATTCTCCATCACTATTAAATTAAACAATAACATTAAAATCTCTTTATGTACATCACTATTAACATAAATTCTTCTTGTTTTTCTCATATTTTCATATGAATGTTCATCAACTTTTACTACTCCAGTGTTTGTTTTTTCAAACATCATAGTATCAAGAATAAGATGTAACTTCCCTGTTTCCTTAAATTTCTGTTCTACTTGTGTCAATAATCCAGTAGAACTATT